AGGGGTTTACGACTTTTGAAGATTTGAAGGGTTTACAACCGTAAACTCAAGAATGAGGGTGCTTGATTTCGATGGAAACTTGTTCCAGATTCTCCCAAACGGCCCCAAATGATGATTTCCGGCATTTTTCGGGTGAAAGGAGGGTTTTTTGGTATTTACGGTCAAACTGTTTAGAGAGAGAAAGGGGGTGTTTCCGGCCAATAAGGTTCAAATGAGGGTGGGGGTCTTGTATTTATAGGCCAGGAGTATGATCGGTGGTGGGGTCCAACTGGCACAGACCGTAAACGGGTTTACGGCCATAGACGAGTTTACGGCCGTAAACTCGTCTTTTTTTTTTCAAGAGTTGCCGTAAACTCGTCTTGGCTGTGAACTCGTTGATTTTCGAGGAATTGAAGGTTTTTCACACGATTTTTGATTTTTTGACCCCCATAGAATTAAAACTATCACTCTAGTTAAGTTAATTAAACCAAGAAGTTGGCGGAAAATTTAATAAAATTAAATTTTATTAACGGAGGTGGGTTAAAATAACGGGAGAAATTTCGAGTTGTCACACCTTACGACTCAAAGCATCGGCCACCACGTTGGCCTTCCCTGGATGGTATAAGATATTGCAACCATAATCTTTCAGTACATCCAACCACTTCCTTTGACGCATGTTTAGGTTATGCTGATCTATCAAATACTTCAAACTCTTTTGGTTAGTAAAGATGGTGCACCGAACTTCGTACAAATAATGCCTCTGGATTTTGAGAGCAAACACCGCTGCCCCAAATTATTGAAAAAGATACACAATAATGATTTTTACTGAATTTGAAACGAAAACAGACACACAATAATGTTGTAACCTTGTGAAAAATATTGAAAACAAAGTGAGGAATTAGATTCACTTCATAATGCTCTGGGATGTAGTTCCTAAATATCCTTGTTGTTGAATTAGCTATAATTAAATAAGAAAGCATTCTTCTATAACTATGTAGTACAGGAATATGCTGGAGTTAATCGGAGTGCTTCTTTTTGACATGATGCTTAGTGTAGAAAAAATGAGAATCAGAATCAGAAATGAGAATATGCATTTATGTATAATCAAAATCAGAAACATAATATGCTTTTTTCTAGCTCTTTCTAACTCAAATAGCATAACTTTATCATGTTGCATAGTACTAAATCACATTTTCTGATTGATGTTCTTTTATGTAAATTTTAATTTTAATATTGACAAGAATTCAGTCTACGAATCCAGTCTACGAATCCACAAAGGGGTTAGACTCGACAAGAAGTAAGTAAATACCCCTTAAATATCTTTTATTTTTTCATGACTTGAATGGAGAACTACTACTCTATTTTTTTAGCTTAATGGACTTAATGGGTGACTTAATCCAGTAAACTATAGTATAAATGAGTGTTCTTTTTTACTTAATGCAATAAAAATCGATTTAACTGAAAAAGTTAAGAAAATGAGGCTTTCCCCATTAAATCTTAACTTTTTGATAAATTTCCTCGTACATTATTTGCCAATATCATTTTTATCTTTATTTGTTTGAAAATTCCAGTAATTTAACAACAAAGTTACTAAGACACGATAAAAAGACCAAAATGCCCTTTTCTTAAATCTCACATGTTTTTTTCAATAATCTGTAAAAACATAGCTAACTCAGGTGCAAAGTGAAAAATGCATAAAGCAATTAAGAAGTTATATGAAGTCACAAAGACCAAAATAAAAACGTTTCATAATAAATGGACGAAAATACATTTTTCCTAAATTTCCAAAACCATTTTTTTTAACAACAGGAAAGAAAACGATTTTACTCTTTTATTTAAACGGAACCATTTACCACTTGGTTAATATGCATTTTATGGTGATATAAATTCAATCATACTTCATACATAAGTCATGGTGTTGGTTTTGGTCATAAAAAATGGATCCAACAATCCAATTTGAAAAATATATTTATCAAAAAATTGAAGAAAAAATATAACTGATTGAAGTGGGATGCATTTTAATAAGCAGATAAGAACATCTGCTTTCTTTTTTTTTTTTTTTTTTTTACTGATTTTACGATAGAAATAGCAACAGATACACATACTTTCGGGTTTTTTTTTTTTTATTTTTTTTATTTTTTAAAGCATATCTTATTGTGAAATTTTGTAGAAAAATGAATGATGGATTCAGAAGAGATATTTTTAGAAAACTGAAAGTGCATTTGTATTAAAGTATTTCTAGAAAAGGTGTTAAATATTGGTTTATGAAGATAAACTAACTTGATTTGTTATGATGTCTCGTTTGCAAAAATCATATTGTAACGACCCAATTTTTACGTCCGAAAATTTCATTTTTAAGATATTACTTTAGAAAACATTAATAAATAAAAACATTGTTTGTTCACACCATAACACTTTGCAACCATGTTCTCAAAAGCCAAACCGTACATTCCATCAAAATATCAGAGTACAATCCCAGTAAATCTCATAAATGCGGAACCCGAAGAGTGTGTGTATGACGTGCCGCTACCGCGCCGGCTCCTTCCCCTTCGATGCAGAGGTACCTGAAAACAAAACTGTAAACGTAAGCACAAAGCTTAGTGAGTTCCCCCAACGTACCGCATACCATACAAACACATAACATACATACTGCCAGGCTATTCTGGGGTGCCTGACTACCCGGTACGGCCATTCTGGGGTGCCGACCTACCCATGTCAAGCCATTCTGGGGTGCTGACCTACCCATCGGTCCTAACAACCGATCCTCGGGGACTATTTCAACCCCCCTACTACTATGATCACATATAACGTAACAAGCCAGCATGCATACATATCATCACATACTGTCAGACGTATCTGGGGTGTCTGACTACCCTTCGGTCCTAACAACCAACTCTACTACTATCACATACAATATATCATGCTAGCATATAACATGTCAGGTAATAGCAAACTTAGATGATATCACAAAGACAATCATCTATCATACATCTCCTACTGGTGGGTCGGCATTGTGGCCTTAGACCCACTGCTACTGGAAGGTAACTCACCTCAAAGTAGCTGCTGAACTGATCGGGAACTAACTGGCTGCTGCTGCTCCGGGAGTCCTCCGGCTGCAATTTCCACGACATACTCAATCAAACACTGCTAACTGTCCTTTAGGTAAAATGACCATTTTACCCCTGGTTTAGCTCTCAACCAAAACTAGAGTCAATTTTTCAGTTGACCCGACTCGCCGAGTCCCTAGCAAACCGATGTCCTGGGTCCCTGGTTCTACTCGTCGAGTCGGGCTATGACTCGACGAGTTCACCTTCTAACTGTCATTCAACACCTTCATCCTACTCGCCGAGTTGTATGAACAACTCGTCGAGTTCATCTTCATCCGATGAACACTTTATGCTAAGACTCGCCGAGTTGTATGAACAACTCGCCGAGTCTGTTCTTGAGCTATGAAGATTGCCTTGGACTCGCCGAGTCAGGGCATTGACTCGCCGAGTCCTAACATGGGTGAGTTCAGCTCCCAACTCACCGAGTCGCCCCCCGCGACTCAAGGCACAACTCGACACATGAAGAAGGGACCAAATCGGTGACTCGCGACCAGACTCGCCGAGTCACCTATGCGACTCGCCGAGTCGCCGCCATGCACTCCTTAAATATACCGATTTGCTCGGTTCCAGTCCATGCCATTCATAGATCTGGACTTCTAGGACACGAATCACACGTAAAGTTTCCAACTTTACGTGTGGATATTCACCAATATGGATTATAAGGCTCAAAATGTCTCAAAAGGGTAGATCTAGGGCTAACAAGCCTCATGGGGCCAAAAAGCTAACAGATCTGAGCTCCTGGAGCTCGATCTTGCATAGATCCAAAGGCCCAACGCCTTATTACGACATATAATGCACATGCAAACTTGGGGCATTGACCAAGAAGGACCCAAATGAAGTTTTAAGCATAGAATCAAGGGGAAAACGGGTTATACCTCAAAGGAAATGTTGAAATGACACAAGGATGGCTGATCTCCTTCTCCTCTTCTTGATCTACTCCTCTTACTCTTCAAAACCTTCAAGAACACACCAAGAACACCTCAAACTCTCAAGGAAACAAGGGAAAACGATGTAGGGGGAGTTCTGGGGGTGAATGGGGACGAGTTGGGGCGGAATGAGAGTTTAAATAGGGTGCAAACCCTTGAAACTTAGGGTTTCATCCCGCAGCGGTGACTCGCCGAGTCCAGGATATGGACTCGTCGAGTCGCCTACTTAAAACGTGTCCTGAGTCTCATCCCTACTCGGCGAGTCGGACCCTATGACTCGCCGAGTCTAAGGCTAAATTAGGGCAATGCTCAAATAAAATTCACATACCGGAAACCAGGTGCTACACATATTGTTGAAGACGATAAAGCACAATAACCTTCGGCAATGGGAATGAAATTTGAAGACTTGTTACTGATATTGAAATATAAATGGAGAGAAAATATTAATTTCAAATTGCTGATTTTTCGGGATTGATTGAAATCTTGAAAAAAATCAAAATTAAGATAAGATTTGTAACCAAATAATTTGAACGTAAATTACTATTGTTTGAAAAAAAAAACAAGTAATTTCAATGTTATTTCAAACTGAAACCGAAGAATCAGTAAGTTGAAAAAAAATTAAGGGTTTACAATTTTGTTTTTCAAATTATGACACGTGGCATGTTAGCAGGATAGAAAAGAGACATATGACACATTAAGGATTTTGTTTATTAAAGAAGGTAAATAAATTGATTTTCTAATTAAACAAAATAAAGAATTTATAAAAATATTATTTTAAATATATCAACTACACGGTTTTTAACCTAATAAACAAATTTTCCCTTTTATAGTTTAATGAATATTTCAAAATACTATACAGTTTAACCGTCTACTCCACCAATTTGACCAAATTTCATTATATCGTGGCCCAATTTTTTGGCCCAATGTCAACTAAGACGAGATCACGAGACCCCTAAACCTACCGACGTGTCCCATAAATACCCGGTCCAAAACCCCTTATCGATACACATCTTTCAAACCCTCGCATATGTATGACCTCGGCGGCGATGATCGTCGGTTGCTTCATTATTTATCGTTTCAAAGCGTGTGTTTTTCATCATCAATCCCCTTTTGGCTAAATCTCATCTCAGATCCACAGTATTTACAATTATATGCGTTTAAGTTTTTTTTCGTTGTATTATCATTGATATTTGCGAATATGTTGTTAATTAGTCCATCTTGGCAAAGCATATGAGGCTTTTGCCTATGAACTGCTTTGAATGCTAATGGACTAATATTGAATTTCTGTCTTTAACTGTTCTTGGACATCTAGTTATGTAGGAGTTCCGAGTCATTCGGGCAGAAACACTGTTTCTATACATAATTTGAAGCGGATTTGGCTTTAGGGTTCTTTGTTATTCCTAAGGATGTGTATGTTTCTAGTCCATCTTGGCAAAGCAGTAGAGCCTTCGGGCTATGAACAGCTTTGAATGCTAATGGACTTACATCAATCATCAGTCTTTAACTGTTATGGAATTCTAATTTCATGGGATTACCAGTTCATTCGGACTGAAACAGTCGTTTGCTTGCAAATTTTAGAAAACCTTGTTTTGATGTTTTTCTCTTAAATGAAGAAAAGTGGATGAAGTCGTTCTTTTGGCCAAAGATGCTCGTCTACCAATATAAGACTGCTATTCAAATAATAATTCAATTCCATGACATTATGCTTTTGATCCTCAAGAGCATCAATCTCTGTCTGTTATAAATGCAACTGCAACACATTCTAAAAAGGTATTACATCATAGAATTTGAAAAGATAACCAGCCTGTACATAAAGGAGAACACTCAAACGAGTCAATGATCATATGAATAAAGAAATTAACACAGAAAAGGTAACAATCCGGATTATACCATTGATAAAATATCACTACTAGCACAATAAATTAGGTCTTTGGTCCCGAATTGACCATTTGATAAATGATTAATGTCAATTAGGCAACTTTGCCTATTTCAAAAGGTTTAACCGTTTTAAGAGCAACTTTGCCGATATCAAAAAGGTTAAGGTCTAGTTGCTGGAGTGTTTTTTTTTTTTTTTTTTGACATAGAAATTATGTTGTACGTTGATTAAGTTGTTGACTCTTATTTTCTTTTTGCTAGCATTTTAACGAGCAAATATATTAAAACAAGCAGCCGCCTAGCAAGTAACCAGACGGGACAAAGAAATGAAACAAAGTAGATAATCAGGAATTGGATGATGACAGACGATCAAAATATAATTTTTAACCTGCAAATATATTAAAACAGCCTAGCAGCGTAACTAGAGGTGACAAAGAAATGAAACAATCAAAAGGGCACACACAAATGAAACAAAGTATATCATCAGGAATTAGATGATGACAAATTATATAATTAGGAATTGGATGATGAAAGACAATCATAAGGGCACACGGGACTATCCAACCCATTTGTAATTACAATTTGCCCTAAGATATTTTATCCATGTAAAGATCTGGGATTTTATGATATCCGATAGTTTAGTTGAGTTGAGGTAGTACGGAGGTTTTTGAATACTTGATCACATCTTGCCTTTCATATCCACTATAATGTTGATCACATCTTGCCTTTCATATCCATCATAATGATCTGTAAATGATACTAATTAGATTCTTCCTCTTCCTTTCAGTGTTTCCCCAACCTTTGGTAGAGGCAGAAAATGGGCATCAGATGAGAATGAGACATGTCTTCGACCTTCGATACACACTAGGTACAAGTAGAAGGACCTGTGTGTAAACCCCTCTTTGCAAGCTCACTTAAGGATGAGATTTTATCATGATATTCCTTTCATATGAAGCATAACACTTTTATGGGAATCTCTTCAATCTAGTCGATTTTATAGTACTTGTTATGCTAGATTCTGTGGTTGATCAGTCAATTTTCTTAGAACATCCACATAGAAGATTCCGTCCTGAGGAAATCTCATACTTCCATCGATCCGTTGACACATTGGGTTGGAAGGAACCGAGAAGAGAGGATAGCAAGTGCAATTCCTGCACCTTCTCAGCTCTCCTCAGCTGATGATGGCATCGAGATCCAATTCCACGAGAGGCCTCTCCTGTGTACTCTTTCTTCAATCTTACATGTTTTCCTACTTTCTAGTTGATATATCGTTGGGAATAACAATTTTAAAGGTTTTGCCCCAATCCAATGATCGAGCCAAAACAATGTTTCATCACCTTTTCCTACATGTTTCATTATCACTTCCTTAATTTTTATTCCTATGTCTTTAAGGTCTTCCTTGATTCCAGCTACATTTTTCCATACATCTGTGATAGATTTTTTGAGATGATACTTGAAGGCTTGTTTCTAAGACTATGTATTCCTTTAATAACTTGGGCCCATAGATGCAACAGATCCATTCAAAGCCTCCACCACCACTTCGTGATTAAGGAGAGGTTTTGTGATCGCAATGATCCCACATCCAATCCACCCTTATCCTTTGGAGCTTTGACCTTCTCCCAAGACACCCAATGTACTTTTTTTTTTTTTTTTTTATCACTTTCTCCCCATAAGAACCATCTCCGAATGCACTTAAGTGTGTTTATAACTCCAACAGGAGCAACAAATAGTGAGAAGTAGAAGGTTGAGATATTTCCCATCACAACTTTGATTGATGTCAGTCGTCCCCTGAATGATAGTGTTTTCACCTTCCATGATGACATCTTTGCATTAAACTTGTCAATCACCGGTTTCCAATGTTTTTTTAAATTCATGTTGGCTCCAACCGGTACACCAAGATAAGTGAACGAAAGCGTTGCTGGTTCACTTCCAAGCGGAGCTGCCTATCTAGCCACCTCATGCGAGCTTGCACCTATACTGAACAGCCGAGACTTTTGGAAAATTACTTTGAGGCCGGATGATACCTGAAAACACCGGAGGATCCGTGCCAGATTCTTTATATTACCTTGACTCCATTAGCCTACAAAAAGGGCGTCGTCCGCATAGAATATATGAGAGATAGTAAGTTCTTCAAGTGAGATTTTCACCCATTTGAAAATACCTTTTTCACATGCCGATTTCATAGCCACATTGAGTCCTTCCATTGCAATTATGAAAAAGAAAAAGGGACAAAGGGTCCCCCTGTCTAACACCTTTCTCCATTGTGAATTCCTTCGTGGGTGACTCGTTCACAATGATGAATGCTCTAGTTGATTCAAGGCACCCTTTGATCCACTGGCGCCATTTCTCACCATATCCTATTTAGTTCAATATAGTGTCAAGATACTCCCAATTTATCAAATCAAAAGCCTTGTCGAAATCCACTTTGAATAAGACATTTTGTTTTTCACCTTTTTTGCCCAAGAACACAATTCGTTAACTATTAATGGCTTGTCTAGAATGTTTATTCCTTCCACAAACGCTGATTATACTTCGTTGATGTTATGCCTGATGACATTTTTTAGACGGTTACCTAGGTTTTCGCAATGATTTTGTAAATGCACCCTATTAGGCTGATCGGACGGAAGTCTCCAAGTTTAAGTGGGCCTTTAACTTTTGACACCAAGGTAATGAAGGATGAGTTGCAGCTGATATTGAATCGCACATAAGTCTCAAAGTACTTTACACATGATAATTGTAACGCCCAAGTTTCGATGCTAAGCATTAATTCGATGATGTAATAGTCAAGGTCAACAATTGTAACCTTATGTTAAAGTAATAAAGATGAATTACTTGAATATTATGTGAATTATGTGATTCTATGTGGTTATATACTTGTTTGTAAGGATATAATAAAAATAAGCGTAAAAAATAAAACATTAGATAAGCCTGATACCCATGAAGAAAGTTGTAGTGGTCGCGACAAGGATTCCAGAGATATAAAGAACGCCGAAGTCTGAGTTATAACGAAGAAGTTATGACTTGTAGAAGTTTCACGACAGAATTGGCACGACACTGCGCGACGTAAAAAGTGAGTTTACGATAAAGTACTTTTTTATACTTAGCGGCCTTAACGAAAGTCGTAGTGTTCGGTAAACCGAGAACTTGCATAAAAATAACGCCTAAATCTGACTTCGTATGAGGAAGTTATGATTTTTGTGACATCTCCATTTTCACGGCCAGAAAACACCGATTTTGTTTATGCTTTATAAAACTCAGAGTATTTCTTTTCATAAAAAATGTTGCAGAATTTGTTCCCAGAAAAATACGATAAACACGTTATCAAAACATTTTCGGAGAAACGTATTTTTATTTATGTTAAAACGTTTGGGATGTTATCGTCAATACAGAAATATAAACATAAACGGAACTTATATTTATTTACACTAGTGATCTACATCTCTTTAATCTCTCAGTTTAATGTGACTTCATATCAACACCTGTGATGTAAATAAACTGAGTGGGTCAGGTTGGGAAACCTAGTGAGTACATAGGGTTTTCAACCCACAATAATATAAAATGGACAAGGTAGAAAACCCTAACTAAATCTAGAGATTTAAGATGAAAGATCTAAGCTTTTTACCTCCAGAAGCTTTGCAAGATGATTATGATGCAGGATCTTGAAGCACCAACTCGTTTCAAGCAAGTTTAACCACGTCTTCTTCTTGTAATGAACACTAAAAGGGCCACAAATGTACTTTTTAAAGCTTAAAATGGTCTCACAAGTTTCTTTGGAGTGTAAGGACGTTCTAAGGTTGTGGAGGCGCTCTAGGGTTAAGTCCAAGGAACTTAAGGTCCCTTAAATAGGCCTCAAGTTCAAAAATTAGGGTTTTGGACCCCTGGCACGTACGCTTAGCGTACTGCTGGTAAAACATGAAAAACCAAAAGCTCTGCCCTCCCTCTATCTATCCAAGGGATGGAAAGGTAGAGTCCTTTGGTGTCCCCCCAGTCAATAATTGGGGTCGTACCTCCAGCTCCTCCACGACCAGCCATGTATAGTGCGTTAAGCGTACACTTAAGTACGCCCGGCGTACAAAGGACCAATTATGCTAAAATGTAATTCTTTAGGGTTTCAAGACATACCAGATTTTGGGTGATACAATAAAGATCTTTCATCTAGTTCCTTGAGACACTACTTATCTGCTCGATATCGTTTTTTCACTGCATTTTCTTTGTTTGAATTGGCAAATTCAACTGTTTTAGTAATTTTGTCGTATTATCTT